AAAGAGTCTGTTGCTCTCCTTAAGAGCTGAAATATTTCTCTACTAGTCAGACTTATTTAGCAGATTAGTATAAGCTGTACTGAAAACTAACTTTCAATTCCCACATTTCTAGTGAAATAAGTACCTCAGCACACACAAAGCATTTACATCTTAGCTCAACTGAAAAAACTGAGTGTTTTGAACTATCTGTACTTCAACTAAAACCATTTCAGAAGGAAGCAAAGAGTCACTTTAGTGGCTTTAATGCCACAATTTACTGTGAGGGTGATGAGACACTGGCACAGGCTGCCCAGAGAAGCTGGGACTGCTCCATCACCGGGAGGGTTCCAGGTTGGATGGGGCTTGGAGCAACCTGAGCTGGTGGAAGGTGTCCCTGCCCAGGGCAGGGGATTGGAAATAGATGATCTTTAAGGTCCCTTCCAACCCAAACCATTCTATGATTCTATGATTCCAGAGCTGCTTGATTAGTGCACAAATGTTAAGAATCATCCTTAGAAATTCAGTCAACTCCAGGAAAAAATTATGAGTAAAAAATGAGTATTTTAAGATGCTTTCATGCGTGGCATAAGACAGATGCAGAGCTAGAACAGAACCATCTGCAATATGAATATAGAATGTAAAGAACCAAGCCAATACAAAAACCTTCAAGGTTTGAACATGAGACACCTCCAAAGGAAACTGCAGCTCAATCACAAGAAATCACTCCCTGACATACTCATACCACTGCAAGAGCCTGAAAACTCGACATGAAGTTCTGAGGAAAGCTGTAGATTTCCTTACTTCTAAGCATCACAGATGTTCCAGCAGGCACAGTACTAGAAATCATTGTGTTCCGTCATTAAAATCAGGGTTTTTTTCTGCCTTTTCAGATGGAATCCTCACAGGGGCAAATCATCAACATCACATCAACACAAGAGATGAAAGACAGACAAAACTAGCCCAAACCTCCCATTAACTATGCAATTTTACCTTGACTAAACTCTTCAGGACTGTAGAAGACAGCAAAGGCTTGAAGGCTTCAATTGTAACTGTGTCCACCTTGATGGCATCAGTGTAACATTGGTAGAGAACTGCAGGGATCTGCCAGACTTGACAGTAACTCAGCACTAAACACAAGGCAAAAGGAAACGTGTGTTATGTTCAGCAGAGAAGGAATCACAGCTCTGTGTGTAAAAGAACTCAAAGGCATGGAAGTTTCTAAACTAACTGCTCAGGATCCTGACTGCTCTACCAGCCACTCCTCATCCCTCAGGGACACAAGGAAATAAACCCCCTAAAAATGACTAAAATGTTGTTGGTATTTCCTCCTGGCAAATACCTTAACCTGGAAACTTTGTACTATTGACAAATAAAAACAACAGGAGCTTCTGTAAACAAACAAACAAAAAAACCCAACGAAACATAAAAAAGGGGTGTGAACAAGATAATATCATCCACTTTTACCTCCTGCCTGACAAGGTTTATTACATGACATAATAAAACTGAATCTAACTTGTACATGAGGTTGATCAGTAGCACTGTGAAACCTTCATTACCTGTAATATACAGCAAGGAATTCAGTTTGGATGCTTAGATGAAAATAACTCCTAATAAAACACCCAAAAAATCCCAATATATACAGTATCTTTTATAAGACTATCTTGAAGATTTCCCCAGTACTTCTGTCTCACACATAAGAGGTAAAAGGATTTGTGGGTGGGTTTGAAATTTCTCCCTGATTTTCCAGGAAGACGTGAAAGCTTTAAGAATGACTTTTTCCAAAAGGTCACTTGTCAGTCAGTTGCCACAATGAAGTATGCTCTAATTGCACTGGGAATGCTCTTCAGAGGGAATTTTGTGTTGCCTTGTGAATAATTGGAATTGCAAAGTACCAGCAGCAGGAAGATCCCGGACAAAGTTGGGCTGTTCCAGCAGTGGGCAGCAGACCTGCTCTTGGAATTCGTTGGTCTTCAAGGCTTTCAGAAACGGAGATGCAAGTGTGAAAGTGGATTCCTGAGTTTTATATTCAGCCACAGGGCACGTTGCAAGAATGGTTACTTGCAAGCCTTCCTTCTGCATACAGCCAAAAACCTGCAATGAACCAAAATACATCAACTAAACGGATCTTCTCACAGCATAAACCCTCCAAGATTCACTTCAGTCTCAGTGCAAAGTTCACTGAGGTTTGCAGGACTAACTACAATTTCAATCACAGCCTTCAGGTAGAAATTTCTCTCTTGGGATGGAGATAAAACCCCTCAAAGAACAGGTGACATTTACCAACTCTGGGGATTTTCTTGAGAGGTTTTAGGCTTTCAGCACTTTCTATTCACCTGCAAATATATTAATTCTATATTCCTGTTTTCATTAATGGTGACTGTAGGAAGAAAAAGGACTCCAAATAAAACCATTCCAAATGGAAACCACGCTCTGAAGTTCTGCAACACTTGAAGAGTCTTCATTCGAAATACTCAGATTTTACTGAATTCAAATTGAATTGAGAAAGAAAACCTTAAATTTTCTTCCTCAAAGAGTTTCAAAGCCACTGCACAAAACATTCCCTTGGATCCATTTCTCACCATGACAAACTTGCCTGTTTGTGTGACAGAAGGGAAGTTGCCTGTGCCCTCATATCAGTGTGTTACCACTGCAACATAAAACTGGTAAAACGTTTCAGGAGGACACATATTTTCCACCGACTCTGTCAGGAATATTGCCTGGAATGCTGGAATGACTGCAGAACTTCAGCTAGTGTGTTCTCATTCATCAGAGAAAACACACACAGAAGCAAAAGTTTGAGCCATGGAGGCTGTGAAGCTGCTCAGTAAATCAGGATTTATATACAGAACAGGTCTGTAATTCACATTAAAAGCAGAAAATTACCAGCACAAAGTTTCTGCTGTGCATTTAAAAATACCAACAGCCACAAAAGTCTAAAAACACTCCAGAACATTGACTTAGTAAAACCTAGTTTTACCACACTCCTCCTGTTCATGGACACCCACACTTGAAATCACAAACAGCTGGAGAAACCCAAATGAGGAAAACAGCAAAACCACGATCATCTTTCTTTAGCAATCCCAGTTTAAAATCAAGTGCAAGAATGCATGGAATACAGCAAACCCAACATGTTTCAAGACTCAGGGTTTCTAAAGTTCAAAGTGAACCATCACCCCCCACACACCAAAGCCTTACTTATCTCTAGCCTCACACATCAGCTTGAGAATCTCTGCTTGTCCATCAGCTCAGCAGAGATTTAAAGGCAGGGAGGGAGGTTAGCAGACAGACAGCAAGACAAACTAAGCCACACTTCTCCTTGAGGCTAAGCAGTGACCCAAATCCATCAAGAAAATCAACAGCCAGAACATTTGCTCTCAGCTTTATCTTATTAAAATCAACATGATGATATCTGGAGGGACTTGGATGACCCAGCAGTGTTCCTGTACCTGGATGATGCTAAGGTGAGGCACTGAGAATGTTAGATCTAGGAATAAATGGGACAGACACTGCTTTGGAGGTGTTTTCTTTTAGAGATCTCCTTGTGAAAGGCACAGAACACACCCCTTAGCAGAAATCATCCAGCAGAAGTTTCACAACAGGTTTGTCTGGTGATCCTTTGGCAGCTGTACAAGTGCAGTTGTGTTACTATATCTTAAGGATTCTCCCAGAGCTGAAATGCAGCTGAAATAAGCCAGAGAAAATTAAAAGCAAACAGAAAAAAGGTTTGGAAAGGGCAACAAAATGGAAACTATCCAAAAGAAATGATTGAATCCAGTTAGTAAATACCAGCAGATACAACTGGCAGCATCTAGAAAGGGATTTCACATGATCTGCAGAGAGCAAATGTGTCCATTTGTTGAATATTTCAGAAAAGAAAGGCCCAGGGAGAAGTTATTTACAATGCTGTCATGTTCAGAGCATCAGAGAGGAAAGGGCACTTACACTAAGCTGGAGTTCCCCACCCCTACGATTTCATTTCTGTTTGTTGTCTTGCCAGTTTTACCTTCTCAAGCCACTGGAACTGTTGATCTTCAGCCACATAGCAACTACACTGGCACAGTAAAACCTTCAAGGAAAGCAAAAGTTGTGTTAGCAAGTGGTTTAAAGAGCACAACAACAGCTTATCAGTATGGCTAATGGTTGGACTCTATGATATCTTAGAGGTCTCCTCCAGCCTTGATGAGTCAATGTGTTAAGATGACGTGACTGCAGCTAACAACTTGTTCAGGGCTTTAACTCTATCTCAACGAGGATTTTTCATTCATAACTGCAGTGAAGCCACCAGGCTATCACACATCTTTGTGCTCAACTTCCCACACCAGAACTTCACCTGGTTTTAGAGAGCACAAACCCTTCAGGTTATTTATGGGGTTAATCCATGACACTACTGCCTTAACACTTGGTTTGGGGGGGATAAAGTCTGCTCTCATTTTAACAAAGCTGAAATGGAGAGGAATCCATGCTTGAGCCACTTACTGTGGGATCTGCTATCAATCTGTAGAACAGACAGAAAGAGTCTGTAGGGAGGACGTTTGTGGTGCTGGAGGTTCGACACCACTCATTCCACAGCTTCACAACTCCAACCACTTCCCAGGAGGCAGAATCCAGAACAAAAGACGACAGGAAAGCTGCAAAAGCCCATAAATATTGTTCATCTACAAAGAATATAATCCCTGTTCTCCAAAGAAACACCTGAAATGAATCAGATTATTCCTTTGCAAGCTGAAGTAAAAATAACTCCTGTTTATTGACATATATTTATTGACCAAATCCAGGGAAGAGCAATACTACAAATAACCTCGTTGTATCAAAATTTAAAAGATAAAGAGCAGTTCTACATCTAGAGATCCACAATGTCAAAAATTGTCTTCTTAGGAATTCTATCCCCACAGTCAACTTCAATTACTTTAGTATAAACTAAGAATGTGAATATTAAGTCTCTAATACTCCTTGACATACTAGATTAAAAATAAAAATCACTGAATTATTACACTGGTTCTAGAAGGCAGAGGCAAGAGGATGGCAAAAATGTTCATAAATCAAATCCCTGTCAAAAGCTACTGTTCATCCCAAGGCAAATAATATGTAGTATTATTTCTCAAGGAAAAACCTGAACAAAGAACAAACAAGTTAGCAAAGTCAACTTAGATATAACCTGAGTGTCATCTAGATGTGACTTAAAGGTAAGCAAGACTTAAAATTTCTGTCCACAAACAGGTATGAAAGACTCAAGGTGTCTGTGGGGAAGGGGAAAGGGTGTTTCAAGTCTGTAACAAATAATCACCTCAAAAGAGGGAAATTTAAACAAGCGAGGAATTAGGATGTGATAAAGGAACTGATCAAGAAAAAAACGTTAAAGCACACCCAAGACACTGTTCATGAGAAATTAATTAGAGCTTACTGACCCATAATTTGACATCTGTGACAGATGCCTATTTCAAAAGGCAAAACTGCAATGAGCAACTTATTACTGTCAGAAGAAAACTTCTGCCAATTAATAAGCAATTCAGAACAGTCTGCCAGACAAAAGTCAGGTAAAGAGGAGTTGTCCCAACTAAAATCCCAAAGCAAACCACATTTTGCTTCTGCTCTTCAACTGAGAATACATCAGTTTTCAGAAGGAATAAACAGCTGTAACAAAAACTGTGTTTTACATGTACAGAGTAAGTCTGGCTTCCTCTGGACAGCCTGGGTTGAAACTCTGCTTCTGAAAGAGGAGCTGAACATCCAGTGCCTAAAGGGAGGTACAAAAGGGATAGAGAAGGATATTTCACAAGGGCAGGGAGCGATAGGACAAGAGGGAGTAGCCTTGAGCTGACAGAGGTAAGGTTTAGTTAGATATTAGGAAGAAATTCTTTACTGTGAGGGTGCTGAGGCACAGGTTGCCCAGAGCAGCTGTGGCTGCTCCATCCCTGGGAGTGTTCCAGGTCAGGCTGGATGGGGCTTGGAGCAACCTGGGCTGGTGGGAGGTGTCCCTGCCCAGGAGAACTCAACGATCCTTAAAATCCCTTCCAGCCCACAACATTCCATCATTCTATAATCCCTGGGAGTGTTCCAGGCCAGGTTGGATGGGGCTCGGAGTAAGCTGGGCTAGTAGAAGGTGTCCTGGACCATGGCAGTGGGTTGGAATGAGATGATCTTTAAGGTCCCTTCAACCCAAACCATTCCATGACTCTTATCCTTGAGGACCATTCTTCCAGGCGAGATGAACATTTTAACTAGACTCCCACAAAGGGACCATCCTGGCACACACACACCTACACTTGGTGCCATAGTCTAGGAACCACAGTAGAGTTGGATCTTTGACATCTCCTCCAACCTAGTTGATTCTACGGTTCTTCCAACCTCCCCCAACTCATCCCAAAACACTCCAGCAGCCCATCCAAGCCCCCTCCGACGGGGTTGGCAGCTCACAGCACCCACCTGCAGCATTCTGTCCTATGCCCACTAGGAACCTGGAGCACAGGAAGGTCTCCTCGGCACAGCCTCCTGACTTCCAGGTCCACAGCACATCGACCTCCCTAGGAAAAGAACCACACAACATCCTGAGCTGGAAAAGGACCCCCTAGCATCATCCCGACACAGGACAGCCCAAGCATCGCACCAGGTACATCCTTCGCCAAGCAGCTCAGAACGCTGAGCCTCATCCACGAGGAGCACGCGAGGCTCTTGAACATCACATTTCTGTAGTGCCTCCTCGTTCAGCTTTCACTTTTGGAACAAAGAAACCTTTGGAAAAGCGCTGTCCATCTCTGGATGCTTCTGCCTTCCTTCTGCACTGCGCTGTGACCGCATCGCCCATGGAGCAGCGACACCTCCCACCCCCAGCCCTGCCCGGCACCTCTTCTTCTCCAGCTCCTCGCGGATCTCCCTGTCCTCGGCCGTCTCCTC